TGTGTGTTGTTGTGTGTGTTATTGTGATGTGTGTGTGTGATGGCAGAGAACAGAGGTTAGACCATCAGGCCAGAGAGATAAGAGCTGCAGCTTGATCCTCCAACAGCGGCGGACTGCCAGCCGGCCGGCCGAGCCCAGTGGAGCCCATCGGAGCCCATCAGAACCCATCAGAACCGGTCCGGTTCTGAGCCCAGACACTGCGAGCATCTGTGTGCGCATCAGCGTGCAGCCCGTTTGTGTGTCAACATCTCTTTCTTCAGCGTCTCCACAGAAACGCCTGCAGCTCAGACGTCCAGACAACAAGCAGGTTGAAACGAGGACGCTTCACAGGAGGCTGGACCTGGACCGCAGAACGTCACACGGAACCACAGACGGAACCACAGACGGGAACCGGACAGCGTGGCTGCAATTTTCATTCCCAGAAGCAGGAATCTGGTGCGACAGGACGTCTGATCTTCATTACAGATACTGAGGAACGTTCCCACAACATTGGCTGATAATGTTTTAAAGGAAACGTTTCGATCAATGTTCAAAGAACCTTTTTTTAAAGAACATTTTCATTTCCAGTAATGTTCCTAGAAAGTTAATATAATGTTTTAATGTCAACATTCAGAGGATGTTGTCGGGAACACAGACGACGGTTCTCAAACTAACATTTAAAACACGTTATTGAGGCCTCAGATGACAAAACGTTCTATACAAGACGTTCCTGTAGTGCGATATATTAACAAAGGGGGAACATTCTGGTTCCAGCGTTCTGAAGATGTTCTGGGGATGTTGTTTAGGAACACATTACACGGGTAGAATCATTAAAATGTTCCCTCAGTGTTACATGACAACAAAGGAAGAACGTTCTCAGTGCAACGTTACATCAAAGTGGTCTAACAAACATTTTCAGAACCTGTATAGTTATTGTACCTTTCGGAGGAACATTCTGGGAACTAAAAGAAAACTTTCTACTGAAAATATTCGTAGAACTTTGCAAACTTTCTCAGAATGTTTTTTTTCGTTGAGGGGTTCTCTCCAGATGCCCTTTCAGACATTGCACTCTTGCTGAAAGGTTCTTTGTGGAACTAAAAGTGGTTCTACGGCACCAGTGTGAAGAAGAACCATTTGTTCTGTACTCACCCGACCAGCGCCGCGGCGTTCTCCTCCTGTTGTGAGACGACAGTGATTTAGAACAATTAGTAAACTTTCTTTTAAACATGAATTTTGTTTTTCTAATCAATAAAAATACAAACTGATTAAAATAAATGAATGAATTAAAACTTAAACAGATTCATGGAAACTCGCATCCGAATGTGTTGCTCACGACTTCAAGGCCGCATCGATCTCTTTTTTTTTTTTTTGCTAAACAATGTTCACATTACACAATTTTTTTGGCAGATTTTTGTTCTAATTTTTGTATTATTAATTTTTTGTAGAATTTGTTGCTTTTTAAAATAATGCAAATTTAAATAAATTTGAAAACGAAGACACTAGAATACTGAGCAGATTCATTGAAACAGATTTTTTTTTTCTGGCTTTTTTCGCACCTAAATCTGTTTCTGCCGACTTCGAGGCTGCACTGACCTCCATGTGTTCATCTTCCCGACTCACACCTCATGTTAACTTAAATAAAGTGTTAACTATCATGCACAGAGGGGGATTTGTTCTCTCTGAATCTGTGACTAATGACAAAGGAAGCAGCCCGTCAGGTTTTCCTAATCAAACACAAAACCTCACGACGTCAAAGCAGCTCCGATTGCTGACGCTCTGATGCACATTGCTGAAGAACCTGAAGAACCTGAAGAACCTCAAGTACCCGCGTGCAGGAGTCATTGTGGTTTTCAGTCATAACTCTTACAGGAGGGTCAACTAAAATGGAAATGTGTGTTCATCACCAGGACATAGGTTTATGTTCAGGCTCCAGAGACGGCGTTGTTAAAACAAGTTCTGGTTCTGGGCTCAGACAAGAACTCTGACTCGCACGATGCTCACAGACTTTTATATTGTTTTTCATTGTGTTAGTTAAAAGTTACTGATGTTTTTATGAAAACAAACACAGCTGCTGAGGTTCAACTGTCAGATCCTGAAGACGAGCTTCTCAGGGTTTAGTGGCAGCACGGAAACATGAAGAGTGAAAGAAAGAAAGATTGAAAAGAGAAAGAAAGAAAGAAAGAAAGAAAGATTGAAAAGAGAAAGAAAGAAAGAAAGAAAGAAAGAAAGAAGCAGAACTCTATCAGAGAAACTTGCTGCAGACGAAGGTTCAGCAGGTTGGACTCAGAGTGAATCATTGATCACGTGAATGGAAGAGAACCGTAGACGGAACCACGTAGAACCCAACACATCTGCTCACATCTGCTCTGTAACGTTCACATTTCATATAGAAACACAAAACATACAGAAGCTATCTCTAAATAAGGCCTCTGTCCTCGTCTATACACATTTTGTTCCCACTTGTCTTCTTCTCCTACAAACTTTTGCTTTACTTTTAATTAAATTGCTCCTTTAATTGAGTGATTTTCAAACGTTTCCTCTTAAATACGAGTTTCCGGTTGAGTTGCGGCGGTTTGAACGGACGCCAGATCCTCCACACGGAGCTGCTGGTTTTTTTCTTTTCTTTTTTTTTTCTGCCTGAATGAAAAAAACAAAATTCCTCGTCCAACTTTTTTTGCTCCCGCTGGCGCTTCCCCCTTTTTAAAGCAGAGCCGCTGTGAGCCAATCACGGGTGAAATTGTTTCAAGGCCAGAGTTCCCCCTCGTTTACTCATTTTGTGTAATTTTTATTCCAAAATGACATCAGCAAACATTTGGAAAGAGACAGAATAAAAGTAAAACCTTCTCTTTTAAAACCATCAACAGAAAAAAAGAGTTTCGTGGATTTGAATGTGTTTTTTTTTTCCGAGGAGATCGTCCCATTAATGGATGGAATTTAAGAATTAAACCACATATTGTTTTTTTTTTTTTTTTAGAACACGTCTGTAATCTGGGTGGATGATTTCTCGTGTGCGCAAAACCAGACTGATGTTATCCAGCATGCATGTCAAAATGACCCCCCAAAAAAGAGCTCTTATTTTGAAAAATTTCAAACCGTTATTGTTGTTTTTTTTTTTCTTTTTTCTCGACTTTTTGACACCAGAAACATTTGCCTGTCACTTCATACAGAGATTCAAAAGCTTCCAATTCATAGGATACAACATAGAGACATTTATTTCTTGTTTCAATACCAAAACCATGTGGTCGTCCCGTCAGAGAGCAGCATCGTTCATCCACAACCAGAAATGGAAAAAAAAAAAAAACTAAACAAAAATAAAATTAAAACAGAAAAATAAAAATTAGCTCCTGTGGTGAACCGAAGTCGAGCGTCCTCCGTCAGTCCGTTCCAACCAACCAAAGTAATCAGAATCATAATAATGCACAGGTGAGTGTGTGTGTGTGTGTGTGTGTCTGTGTGTGAAAATAGAATTTGTAACAAAAAAGAAAAATAATCTGAATTCTTCCCAACGAGATCCTGCGATTTTTTTTTCTTTTTTTTGTATTTTCCACTCGCTGCCTCCCAGCACGAACACACACCCACACACACACCCATACACACCCACACACACACAACCGGGGAGCTTTTATTTTGTAAATCCTCAAAGTGTTGCTGATTGACTCGGAGGGGCTGCACTGGAATTCTTGGCTGGGTGTGACAGTTCCGTTTGTTTTGTTTTTTTTCTCTTTTAAAAAGGCAGAAAGGGGGCGGGGGGGGAGGTGAAGTCGGTGCGGCGGCGCCTCCTTCCTCCTTTAGTCGAGATTTCGCAGCCGATCAAAGTTCCTCCGTTACGTCCGAGCCCCCCCACCCAAAAAAACGTGACAGAGTTTTAATACAAAACGGAGGCGGGGAGGGGAGAGAAGAAAAAAACAAGAAAAATAGTTACATCATTCCTGTTTTTCAACTTTTTGTACTTGGTCACTTTTTGAATTCCATATATTTATATCCATATATATTTATATATATATTTATATATTCTTTTTACAATTAAAAACACCATGGATTTGACAGACTATTTGGTTTCTTTTTGTCTAAGTAGAAGTGTTTTTTTGTTTTTTTTTTGTAAATAAATGCATGTAAATATTTTTTTTCTCCCTCGTCTTCCGGTCGGTGTAAAGGCGGCGGCCGCTCCAGAAGTGTTTGTTATGCATATCATCGGCACGTTTTCAGAATTTCCATGATGTCACTTTTTTATTTTTTTCTCCTCCACGTCGGCAGTTCCGTCCCACAGCGGTCGGACGCTGTCCTGAAATCGAGTCCTCTCATTGGCCGCTCTGGCCCAGGTCTCTGTGTGATTGGCTGGGGCTGAGCAGCTGGGTCTGCGTGGGTCCGTTGCAGCTCAGCGACCCGCCGCTTCCTCCGCTAAGGTTCAGGAAGCAAACAGTTTCTCTGGCCTCCACCGGCGCCACCGTGGATCCGCCGCCGCCGCCGCCTCCGCCGATGATGACTCCGCCCTCTTCCTGTTTCCGGTGAGCCAGCGCCAACGCCCGGAGCTGCTCCTGCGCCTCCTCCAGCAGCAGCGCCACCTCGTCCTGCTGCCGGCCAATGGCGGATGAGCAGGAAGTGGAGAACAGCGTGGCGGCGTGCGGTGGCGCCATCTTCTCCCTCCTCTCTCCGCAGGTGGACATTGCCGTGGTTGCCGGGGCGACGCTGGTCTGCATGCAGGACGCCTCGCTGTCGTGGTGACACTGCACGGACGGGATGATGGGGATGGAGCAAGAGCGGAACGGTGGAGGCGGGGACTGGTTGCCGTGGCGGCGGCCGGGCCGCCTCAGGCTGCGGGTGGCGGCGGCGGCACTGGGGTCGACGCTCGTCTCCACGCGGCCGCTCCACGGCGACGCCGTCTCCACGGGAACAGGAGTTTGCATATTTAGGAAGCCGTCATCTCGTCCGGAGCTTCGATTCTCCGCCTGGAAACTGGAGGAGACGGAAAAACAAAGAGAACGCGGAGTTAAAGGTTACTCGGAGTCACTTTGTCTCGGGTGGGTTTCAACACGATCGCCTTTTCAGACGCCCACGCCGAAGCCCCGGCAGAATACACAAAGGCAGCGCTCTCCGCCCTCCGCCATCGCTCCGGCTAACCAAGGAGGGGGAAGCAGATGAGTCTGACATCTTTCTTTCATCTCTTTATATCCGAGTCCACACACAAAAAACTCCAAAAAAACCCTCTTACATAAGTGGAGAGGTAACAGAGAGTTCACTTTTTTATTTTTCATTTTATTGATTTCAATGACGCGCCTCGAGCAGCGTTTTGTTTCGAAAACTCTCCGGTCAAGGACGACGGAGGTGATCGAACATTTTTTCGTTTCTTTCTTTCTATTGAGAAAAAAAACTGAAAGTCGTCACAGTTTTAGGTCAAGATCAGGCGCTTTGAAAATCCTGTTCAAGCCGCTTCAGCTGCACCGATCGGGTTAAAATGGCAGAAAGTTTTAATCTTCCTCTCAGCTCCTCACGTTCCGCCGCTAGTTTTCATGTTTCTGAGCTAATATCAATAATAACTGTATTCATACGGCGCTCAGGAGAACCGGCGAGCAGCAGAAGGTCAAACAGAAAAGAGAGAAACGGAGTAAAAGGTTTACAGAATGAATCAATACGACAACCACCAGTGGACACAAATAGTTGTTTTCACGGTTGGCGGGGAACGTTCCCACAACATCGGCTCACGTTACCGACAAGTTCTAACGAAGAAGACGATTTAATCAAATGTTCGAAAAGTCCGTAACACAGATTATGTTCCATGATAACAAAGCAGGAACAGTTGTCCAGACGTTCTCCAGGCCTCAGAGGACAGAACGTGTTCTTTAACAGAACGTGATATGTTTAAGGTGGAACATCTTTTGTAGTGCGTTCTCCTAGAAGGCCTCCACAACGACGACAACAACAAAGGATTAACGTTCTTGATGCAACGTTCTATAAATCTCTTCCAGATATTATCGAGGCCTCAGTTTACGTTAACAAAGGTGGAACATTGAGGAAACATATTATAGAACCTATAAACGTTCCCACAATGTTCCGCAATTTTGCACAATGGCAAACGTAGAGCGTTCTCAGTGCTGCGTTCACCTTTGAGAACGTTAGAGCACACCCCAATAATGTTGTCACCCAACATTTTCAGAACATCTTTGAGAACTAAAAGAAAACTTCCTGCTGAGAATATTAATAGAACTCTGCAGAACTTTCTCAGAACACTTTGGGAACAAAAAATGATTTTTTTTTTGACTGTTCTTTGAGGGGGTTTGTTCAAGAACCTCTTTAAGAAACTGTCTTTAAAAAAACTTGCAAAAATGGGGTTTTGGTTCTACCTAGAACCTGCACATACCCAACCAGCGCCACAGCGTTCTCCTGTGGCTGGACGCTAGTGGTTTAGAACAGTTAGAACAGAAGGTTCTGCAGCTTCTCAGGTCGGTGGTTCCAGATTTAAGTCAGAAAAATCCCACCTGAGGATCTACGGCTGCAGACTGGTTCCTGTGGGGTAGAACCAGTCCAGGTTCTAGCGTTCTGTCCACAGCATGCTGTCGCCTCATACATCCAGTTTTCACGCTGCTTGCTGCATCCGTCTCCGTTCCGTCTCCTTTGTGCTCCCTCTAACTGAATTAACTGTACGTTTTGTATCTGCTGCTCGTCCATAATTAATGACCACATTTGCATATGCAGAAGGAGGAACCGGGCCACGGGGAGAACTCAGCTCTCAGGACGGAAAACACCGCGATCCGGAGACGTTATTTATTCATCTGTTGTCGGAGCATGTCGACTAAAAGGTGCACCGAGACGCAGGACCGGAGCTGCAGCTTCTTCCTCTCTTTGCAGAGGAACGTTCTGTCGGCGCTCAGACGCAGAGCTGCTGCCGTTCTGGGTTCTGAGTCAGTTTGACTTTGGATTTACAGACTTTTGATGCAAAGATGCACCGCTGTGCGTAATCACGTTCTGCTGCACCCCGCTGCATCGCTCCCGCAGCGATACTGTCTCAAGTGTTTACTGTGCACATGCAATCCTTTAAAGACCTCATTAGAACCTCCATGCTGCATGCAAGAACCTCCACGTTACTGCGCCTACATCAGGGAACCCCAAAACACAAGAACCCCAAAACTGGCCTGCAGGATTCTACATCGTTTAATCTTAAAACAAAGAAATTACACCATTTACCAGCTAAAAATGCTGCCATTTATTTATTCCAAAAAATTTAGCGTTTTAAAAATGACCAGAAACTAAACCGTTTGCAGAAACCAGGTTCTCTGAAAAACTAAAAATTCTGGACTTCTTATTACAACCAAAAAGCCAGAACTGACTCAGCTGCAACCAGCAGTCACGTGACTAAAATTCAGGGACTTCTCGGCTGAACTTTGAATAACCTAAAAACCTCCGCAGTAAAATATTTATAGAGTGAGAATATTTTCAACATTACATTGGAGGCACTTTATTGCATTTGTTAGGCTTTTCTTTAGGGTGTTCTCAGCTGAACTGCAGGCCGTGTACTCAGAGCAGGTAGAGCTGAAGCATGGAAACAAATAAAAAATGTAAATAGTAAAAATATCTATAGTATGTAGAACCACCAGATTTATTTCTCCAGTACTGGATATGTTTTGCATTACAGGTTTTTCCAATTTTTACACAATAAATAATCAAAGAATTTCAGCTTTTCTTTATCTATTATTTGGATTTCTGGCATTTTAACTGTTGTATACCACACAGAAGACATGTTTTTTTATGAGTTCTCGCTCCTTCTTCATGTTGTTATGTTTCCACAGAGCTGCAGGACTTCATACTGCAGTAAACAATGAGCCCACAGTGAGGAAAAAGTGACAGGAGCAAAAAAAAAAAAAGCTTAGAAACGGAGTTTAACTGAATTAACAAGAGCAACTGTTTCTTCACTTTTTCTTATTTCACGTCAGTTCATTTTTACTGCTGCTAAAATGTTAGTTTTGTTAGTTTAGAAACTGAATTTAATGAGTTAAATGAACTCTTTGGCCATATTTACACTCAATTAATGACTTAATTTAAGTTATTTTATGATGTTTTGGACTTTGCAGTAAAAAATGAGCCTGCAGTCATGAAAAACAGAAACTGCTCAGCGTTCAGAGGGTCAACATGCATGTTTGTGCTAAACAGTGGCTAATGTATAATTAACCAGAGCGTGTTTTTTTCTAAAAACATTCTGGGGCCGTTTTCGACCTTGATTTGGAAGCTGACTGTAAAAATGACGGGAAACGACGGCAGAACAAGACGCAGAAATGTCCTCCGGCTGAATGTGAAACGGTGACGTTAGGGTTCATGTTTGGCTACGAGAACCTCCTGACGTGTTGGTGAAGGTCTGAGCAACTAAAACTCCTCCATCTGAGCAGGAAAACATCGTGGTTACTGATTTAATTGATGTGGAGGCTGAGCGGGAACCACGAGGTGCAGAAACGTCCAGCAGGAGTTGAGTCGAGCAGCAGAGGTGGGCCGCTCCATCCAGGTGCCTGGTTGGCGTTTAAAGCATCTTCCAGCAGCTCGTCCACATGCTGATCAGTCCGACTTTACTTCGTGTTGCCTTTCTGCGGCGCGTCCAGGACTCTGTTCTGTATCTGGGTCGGATTCTGTTTGGAAGACTGACCGTTCCTCTCAGCGTATCGGTGTCTAAATCCAGCTGTAATGTGGAGCAGAGCCTCATTATCTTTATGTAATAATTCATAATCCCCTGCAAAGGCTTGTTGTTTTTTTTTTTCTTCCTGCCATCGACTTGAAGTAATAAACTCATCACACACACTGAGCGGTGGGCGGAGAAGGTGCTCTGCTTTTTTTTTAAATTCTGACTCGACGGAAATCACGTCCTTGTTTTCTTTTTTTTTTATATCTCTGAAAAGCTCTCCGCTAAACAAACAAACAAACAAAAAAAACCACGGCGGAGGTTTAGGGAGAGGCCCACGGAGGGGATCCCGCCAGCGATAAGCCAGGATGACGCGAGGGTGCTAATTCCCAAGATAACATTCACAGCCAAATCTCTCTTTTGATGTGCTGAAACACAATCAGATTGCAGAAAAGAAAAAAAAAAAAGAAAAGCAAAAGAAAAATCTATGAAGCACAGTTCAAATATAGACCCGGGAGCAGCTGGAGGGGTATTACAGAGAGATTGTGCGCGAGCGAGGTGAGATAAGTGACCGGGCTTTTATCTTTTACGGGAGCTCATTACAAGTACAAGTGTTAACAGTCATTTTCATTAATCCGTTGCCCTACGGATAATTCCCTAATATATCCCCTCAGCTTGCTGATAAATTCCCAGTGAAATCCGCCCCAACCGAGTGTGACGCGGTGACCTTGTACCGCCGACAAACGTACGGTTCGTACACGCATCGGTGCGCGACAACAAACTCGGGGTGAGCTCGGTATGCTGCAGAAAAAATAACACAACAAAAAAAGGAAATGCACACGGGCGTCTTCGTCAGCCATTTTGGAGACAGCTTTATCTTAAAGTGGCGGTAACGACACGGGACATTCTGTCTCCCTGTCAGCCATTTTGTTGAGATAACGCCGGGCTTCCTCGCAGAAAAGAACAGGAACCTTTTCTTTCTTTCTGGCTGTCATTTGCTATCTCGCCGCTGCTCGATCACATCTGTTCACCTCTCTGCTGCTTTAGTTTTGAGCTCTGTGCGTCGGAACAGATTCTAGTCTCTCTGTTTCTCGAGCATCTCCATGGCGACCCGGGCCGACCACGCCGACGCCGCTATCTGTGCGTCCATCTGCCGCCCGGTGGAATCTCGAGAGCGAACGAGTAGGTGAGCGAGTGATGCAGGTCGGTGACTCAGCCGGCAGGAGTGACTGTAAGCGAGTGTGCGGCTGACTGAATGAGTGTTACGTGTGAGTAAGCGAGCGAGCGTGACCTCCCGTGTTCTGCGCACAACCTGCTCATCTGTTCGTCCCAAACTGTGGCTGATTCTCATGCAGCATCTGTGCTTGTTTTTATGACGGGTTGCCTTTTTTTTTTTTAATGCCGTGCAGCAGTGTGAGTGCACAGATGCTCTACGGGCAAAAAAAATAAAGAAAAAGAGGCCAAATGTGGACAGCAAAGGACACATACAGTAACAGGAGAAGGTCTTAATGAGAATCTGGATGAGATGAAAACACACTCTGGCTTGTTTGTATTACTTTCGACCAATCACAGCCATTGTGGGCGATGCTGAGCCCAGGATGTAGTGATGGTGCCCCTTGCAAATCAGTGTAGAGAGATTTTGCATTGGTGGAACTTGCAGAATCATCTGTTGGTCCTAAACTATGGCTGATTCTCATGCAGCATCTGTGCTTGTTTTAATGACGGGTTGCTTTTTTAAAAAAATGCTGTGCAGCAGTGTGAGTGCACAGATGCTCTACGGGCAGAAAATAAATAAAAAGAGGCCAAATGTGGACAGCAAAGGACACGTACAGTAACAGGAGAAGGTCTTCATGAGAATCTGGATGAGATGTTGCTGGGAGAAAACACACTCTGACTTGTTTGTATTACTTTCGACCAATCACAGTCATTCTGGGCGAGGCTGAGCCCAGGATGTAGTGATGGTGTCCCTGCAAATACGTGTAGAGAGATTTTGCATCGGTGGAACTTGCAGAATCATCTGTTCATCCTAAACTGTGGCTGAATCTCATGCAGCATCTGTGCTTGTTTTTATGACGGGTTGCTTTTTTTTTTTTTTNAAAAAAATAAAGAAAAAGAGGCCAAATTTGGACAGCAAAGGACACGTACAGTAACCAGAGAAGGTCTTCATGAGAATCTGAATGAGATGAAAACACACTCTGGCTTGTTTGTCTTACTTTCAACCAATCACGTCATTTTGGGCGATGCTGAGCCCAGGATGTAGTGATGGTGCCCCTGCAAATCAGTGTTGCTTTGGTGAAATATGCAGAAACATCTGTTTGTCCCAAACTATGGCTGAGTTTTACACAACATCTTTTTATGACGGGGGATTTTCAGGCTGTGCAGTGCAGCCAAATTTAAGTGCAGTGGAGACATTTGGGACAACTAGAAAATGTGGTGATGTAGGAACTTGCAGAATCAACTGTTCGTCTCGAACTGGGGCTGATTTTCATGCAGCATCTGTGCATGTTTATATGACGGGGGATTTCAGGTTGTGCGGTGGAGTGCGCAGACTTTAGCGAAAATAAAGAAAAAAGACCAAACTTTGACAGCAAAGAACACTCACAGCAGCCAGAAGACATTTAGAGTGGCCAGAAGCCCCTCAAGTAAGAGCCCGGAAGGAAACGGTGGCCGAGGGAAGAAAAACGCTCCGGCATGTTCGTCTGACATAGTTCAACAAAATCACTGTAATCTACATGTCTTCCCCAAAATTAATGGTGTGCACTAACAGGATTCTGTAAAAAACAAAAATGTTGTGCTCCCCGTGCAAACAAAAGACCAGGAGTGACTCAGCTGCAACCAACAGTCACATGAGAGAAACTCAGGAAACTTTCCTCTGAACTGCCAGCAGTGTTACACTGGAGACACGTATAGGAACAGATTAAAATATAAGTATTGAAGTATTCATACTATGTAGAGCCACTATGTTTTTCAGTGTTTGGTAAATGTTTACTCCAGGTTCTTTGAACTTTTGCAAATTAAATAATCATAATCGTTGTGGCATTTAAATGTATGTGTTATGTTCTGCACAGGGGACATCGTTCAGGTCTCTTTACTTCTAGCTGTGGTTGTTCCGTTTCCATGGAGCTGCAGGACTTTAAAACGGTGAAGAAAAAGGTGACTGTAGCTGAAAAATAAAACATCCAGAAGCAAAACTGCTAACAACTTTTTTCCCCCCACATTTTAACTCAGTTCTTCTGCTGCTATACTTGATTTAATTAGTTTAACAAACTCTGTGGCCTTATTTACATTAAATTATTGAGTTCTTTTATGATGTTTTGGACCTTTAGGCCTGCAGGCTGTGCACAGAGCACCAGATCTGGAGATGAACAGCAGCTCGTGAGTCACTCTTTAGTGTATTTAGTGTTCCTGTGTAAATACCGATCGAGGGGCAGAGAAACTCAAGCCCTGGTGCACATACAGTATCTACATGTGCGAGAGTGTTTGTCCAGTTGTGTCCTCCTGCTCTTTTCTTTCATTATGCATGTAGGTCATGTGCAGCTTAGTCCTGAGCCGGGACCGCTGGGACCCGAGTGCCTGAAGTGAAGCCTGCCCGTCCAGGTGGGTGAAGCTCTGACTCACCGTCCACCAAAAAAAAAAAAAGAAGTGGGTCAGAGCACAGCAGCAGCCTTTCACACCGAATCCACCGTCCTGCAGATCATTTGCATCATTTTCCCTCCGTCTGCTGAGCTACATCCGAATGCTGCGGTTTAATTACTGGTCAACCTGCTCGGCTGTCACATTAAAACGCTCATGATCGGAGTTTAATGCGACAAGCAGCAGAGAGAAAAGATGCAGATGCCTGGACCTCGTCCTTAAAAAGCACCAGGCGAGGCTTTGAACTGCGGACCGCAACGCTGCATGACCTTGTTTTTATCTTTGCTCAGCAGATTGGAAAACAAAAGGGATGAGGGGGAGTGAAGGAGGTTAAAAAAAGAAATGCAGGCTGGGTTTCTTTTTCTTTTTTTTTTCTGTGAGAATTGGCTTTGAAATATCCACTCTTGAAATGAAACCCAAAGCTTTGTCCGCGGCGGGCCTGTATGTCTCAGTCAGTGGGTTTCATTGGAGTGACTCAGCACTTGGAGGATACAGCAGAGAAGGAGGTGAGGATAAAAATACCCCCATCATGAAGCTGCCACTAAAACAGCCTTCATACGTGAATGCAATCAGCAAATACACGTCGATGCCTTATATAAGGGGATTCATCGCATGAGGCTGCTTCACTACCTTTACTTTTAAGCTCTTATCTCAGCCATTAGAAGCTCCAGCTCTACATATTATACATTATTTTCATCAGGAGAGTCTCGACTACTCAGATCTCCCATCATCTGATATAAATAAGCATGCAGATTATTTATATTAGCCTTTATGTCAAGCAGAAAATAGATTATGTATTATAAAACTGTTACGTTTTTGCACGTGTCTCACCATAAAATACTGGCAGTAAACATATTTTATTTCATAACTGTGTTCAGGAGACTGTCTGGAATCTGGAAATATCAGAAACATGCACACACTTAGTGCCTAAAGGGAATAAATGGCATTATTTTATTCCCTGAAGTATCTACATACAGTTTCATACTTAAGAAATAATGCAGTAATTTAGAGGAGATGTTCTGTTTCTTATTTTGACAGATGACAGACCTGCTTTATGTGACTTATGCAACTGAGAAGCATTAAAAAAAAATAGTAAAGCAGCTCTTTCTTATGATAATAACACAAAATTGCACATATATTCAGATATTATTTATACGTAATGCTGTATGCAGGCTGTAACTATTATTACATTTGATTTAAATTCAAAATAATTAGTTCTCATCGATGCAGGAAACTATCATCCTTGGAAAGGTCAAGGACATTTAATAAGAGCTGACCTGCATGCAAACTGCACCCATTAAATTTAATATCGTATTCATATATCCCTGCATACACACTCAAAGACCAGAAATAAAGACTTTTTTTTCTAAAATTACTAAATTGTCTCTCAAAGATACTCTCCTGAAGAGGGAATGAATTATGGAGAGGAAAAAAAATAAATATAAAAGAGTTACCAGAGTTCATATTTTCTAATTTTATAACAATTAATTATATTTTATGTTGTATTAAATTAGAGAAACAGAACTGAAACGAGGCGTAATCAGGACTGAAGGCAAATTCTCACCTCCTCTGTGCTTCTGCCTCCTTCTCGACCGAGTCCACTTCCTGAAGGTGCTGGTAGGCGGGGCCGGAAAACTTGGATCCTCCAATCGGGTTCAGCCTTCCCCTGGGGATGGGCGGAGTCCTGCGAGGAGCCGACCAATGGGCCGCCAGCGTTCTCTGGTCGGGGCTGTGAGACAACGAACCGCTTCTAGGAACAAAAACAAAACAAAACAATAAATGAATTAGAAGCTTTTGTTTAATCTCGTGCTCAGTTTTTAAAAATATGTAATTTAGTTTAGTCAGAAATGCTTTTTTATTGCTCGTGTTGTTGTAAGGAAGAGCCACAGATTCCACATGATGAGGAAGATGGAGGCACAAGTCAGGCTTGAGTTTAAGTAATCTTTATTCTATCTTTATTTTTATCCTTCTTGTGCTCTTGTCTTTCTTGTGGTGTGTTTTAATGTCTCATTTCTCACTAAAGGGATCAACAAAGTTTATCTTATTTTCATTTTTATTTGCTGTTTACTTTTGCTTTTTGGTTTGGCTTTGAGGAAAATATCATTCTTTGGTGAACGCTTTTAAAAAGATGGCGACTTGTTAGAATCCTGGTTAAACTGTGGCACCAGAAGGACTTCGTAGGGCTTCAGAAAACAGCACGTTTTGGATTAAAATACAAAAATTTCACAGCATGTTTGAAGCTCTTCCTCCATTTTCAGGATTTCCCATTTATTGTTTGACTGATTGGCTCAAGAGGAGCAGTAAAGAAAAAAAAAAAAACAAAAACCCTGAAAGGATATGTTGACTTGAAACACATCTGAGAGAAAGAAAATTTTCCCTCAACATGTAGCTCAGATACAGTTTAGTTGCACAGAAACGTAGTTTTGTGCAGACTGGGCTGGTTTTGGGTGCATCTATTCTTCAGTTTGTCTGCATGTTCGAACGGCATCTAATTATCAAATTGTCATCTTTATTTTCCAGACTTTTACATCCGTGAAGACCTCTGGGAGGCGGTTTTAAATAAAACACCTGCTTGTCGCCTTTATCAAGTCAGAGAAGAAGCTGAGCAGCGACACCTGTGGCCCGCGGCCCTTTGGCACGTTTCAGGCTTCGCTTGGAACGTTTCATTTTACATCCAGCAGGAAAACAATGAGTCTCTTTTTTTTAATTAGTGTGGCATCATGGTGATGCTTAAACGAAGGTGTGGAGAGGGAAAATGAAGAGAAGTGAAGTTGCCAAATTTTATAAAACTTTGCAGAAGATGATGCCAAGTTCAGAGTTTCACCGGCAGGAAAAACTTGATTTGTGGCTCGATAATGTCTCAGAAGAGAACATGTGTGTGATTTACTCACCTGAAGCAGCTCTTTATTCTGCTCTTTTTTTGGGTTTAGAACTAATTTCTCACCCAGGATCACCACCTGTAGCCCTCATTCAGATTTAACACTAAAAATGGGCTCAACAACCGGAAGCTTACAGGCTTAATAGCAGAGTTTCACGTAGAGGCCTTTAAATTAGAGGGTTTTGTTTGTGGCACAATGAAGTCTCTGCACAAACGGATGCAATCACAAACAAATAAACCCAACGAGGGTGTAATTTGGAGCCGAGTAATCTCGACCTCCTTGAGAAACCGAGAGAGAAAAGCCTCGCGGGAGTTTAGTCCGGAGGTTAGAGAAGTGGACTTTGCGGTTGGAAGGTTGTCTGATCGTATTTCTGGGTTCGTTCTGGGAAAATCTCCTCTCGGCTGCAGCCTGGATCCGCTTGAAAAAAGGGGGCGATTAACCTCCAGCTGCTGCTGCCGGAGTTTCTTAGCGGCAACAGGTGGATGGAAAAGCTGACGTCTTAACTGAGCCGCGATGAAAGAGAGACTTTAAAAAAAAAAAACAGAAGCATTGTGTGAATATTTTGACTTATTTTCCCCCTTTGGGTCGAGAAAAGTTTAATTTCTTTTCACTGGTACGAAACAGAACAAACCTGGGAAAAGGTTAAGCCAATGAATATATTAGGACGAGAAAGAACGTTCTGTCATCTGAGGTCTCGATAACGTCTCGAAAACGCTTCGTGAATGTTCAATAATGTGTTCCCTTAACAAATAACGTTCTACCTTTGAAACTTTTGTTCTTAGCGTTCTTCCTATCGTCTGTATAATGTTCCACCTTTGTTAATATATCGCATTACTGGAACAATTTATTTAAAAAAATCTTGAGGCCTCGATAACGTCTACAAAACGTATTTTGAATGTTGACTTTAGAACAGTCCTTTTTTAAATCATGTAATATTGTGGGAACGTTTTATAGCAGAACTTCCTCTCATGTATTCCCTCAACAACATCCTCAGAA